GGGCGGCAGTGAAGACGGTCTTGCAGGCGGTGGGAGAAGCGGCAGAAACCGCCGGCTCGATTCCAGGCGCGCTCCGGCTGGCGTCACCGCTGGCCTTTGCATTGTGGGGCGGGAAGTTTTCTGCAGCCATCTCAGGCTTTCTTATAGGCGGCGGTCTGGCCCACGAAAACTACAACTCCCGGCAGGCTCCGGGCCCACCGGGCGCGAGTTCGCGGGGCAGTATGGGAATTGTAGGCGCGGGCCTCGTGATTGCTGCTACCTGGCTGGCCTTCCCCGCCCACTCACTGCAGTCTTCCTGCTAAATCAGCACATCCCAGCAGTGCCTGATTGTAAGAATTCTATGCGGAGCTGATTAAAAGTAGAGATTATGGGCTGGTCGTGATTGCTTCCAGCAGTTTGGGAGGCCGAGAAGGGATGATCGCTTAAGCCCAGGAGATCGAGACCAGCCTAGGCAACATAGCAAGTACTCTCTACAAAAATTTTTTTACAACTACCCAAGCGTTGTGGTGCGCACCTGAAGTCTCAGCTACTCGGGAGGCTGAGGTAGGAGGATCACCTGAACCCAAGAGGTCGAGTGAAAAAAGAATCGATTGCCTGGTTTATCCCTTAAAGATTTGGATCCAGTATTTATGGGCCAGGGCTTTTAACATGCACCCCCATGTCCTCCTTGAACAACATGATCCGGGAAATTTGAAAAACAGTGGACTAGTAAAATTTCTGTTTTGCAAAAATGTGTGAGCCTCCCCCCACTTTTTATTTTAATAGCAATACATACTCACGTAAGAAAATTGGAAAATAACAGAAAAGTGTGAATAAGAAAATAAAAGTCTTAACTTAAGTCTCTCTATGTATGTGGATATCTGCCTGAATGTTAAATATTGTCAATAATAATTAACCAATTTTGAGTAATTGAAAAATGTCAGGCATGTTGCTATGTACTTTACTCACACTACTTCACAACAGTCTAAAAAGCAGGCACACATTACTATTACTGCTTTTTTACAGATGCAGAAATGGAAGCACAAAAAGCTGTTCCCCTGATCACATATGTAGAGGCAGAAGATAGGATTTGAACCCAGGTTTTCAGAATTCAAATCTTGCATGTTTAACCTCAGGTATTCTACATCCTGAGAGGTGGCTGGTATCATACAATAGCCTTTTCCATCCTGATTGTTTTTTTTTTTAAGGTTGCCATTGAAAGCCCGCAGCTGCCACCCCTAAGCTTTCTTCCTTTCTTCTTTTTGCCTGTTATTAGCTCAACTCCTGCCCTCAACCCTGGCACTTATGTCTGCTATTATTTCTTCATCTTACATAAGCAATAGAGGGGATGTAAATAATAAATTCTGCAATGGCCTTGGCTCCTGGGAAGAAGCAGAATACGCAGAGATCCAGGATGCTGTCCACACCAACACTTACTACTCAAAGTTTAAATGCACCCTGAAAATAAATATCCAGGTGTTAGATGATGCTCACCCTTTAACATCAGCTCATTCTCAGTGGTTAAGTTAATGACCAGCCTTCTCTCTCGAAGACTCACCATCCTTGAGATGACAACGTCAGTTCCTAATAGTTGTCCTTGCACTGATCACTTAGCTTCAGCCTCAGGGGAAGTCCAGTTCAGGCTGCCTTGGTCCCAGGTTCATTGCCCTCCAAGCTCCCTGTTGCTCTTAGCCAGTCTCTTCTCCATTTTTGGCACCACATTTTTACTCTCTTTCCTCAGGGAAAGCTTTTCTGATCCCCAGACCTAACCTGGTCTTTTCTCCCCAATAAAGACTCTCAGAGCCTCATTATTGTGGCAGTTATTATAATTCAAAGTGAATCATTTATAGGCTGATTGGCTACCTGTTTCCCTTGCTGGAGTGTGAGGTTCAGAGTGGGGAACATGACTTGTGAATCACCGTGTCTCCAGATCTTAACACAGTAGTTCTTAGCTCAAAGTGAGTGCATGGATTTCTGTCTGTTTCCCATGGCCGTGAGACAGGGTCGGAGAGTGTGGGGGGTGGGGTCACTTGTGGCCACACTCTTCAGAAAAGGAAAACCACTATAGCAGGAGATTGTGAATGAATCTGTCCTGACCTCATGGGTAGTGATGCTGGACATGGGAGATGGGCAGCAGCAGATGGTTCGTGCTGTGGCAACCTCACTGCCATGGGGACCCGTGTTCTGTGAGAAGACACTTCACCCTGCATTGATGACCTTGCCTCTGGAATTGATAGAGGGTGGGGTGAAGGGGCGGGGGGAGATGAGGAGCAAAGGTGAGCAAGTCTAAGGGAAGCTTATTATTTAACCGAAGCTTAGAATAGGAGGCCTTCAAGCATACAAAATGCACTCCCCACCAGAGGAGAGACATGTAATACACACCAGTGACCATCAGGGGGCGCCGCTGCTGCATGAATAATCCAGAACATTTAAAAATGTGCAGAATATCGCTTTAACGTTGTCCTAGGTACTAACTTCGTTCTCAGGGATCTTTTGGGTAACCGACCATTCTTGCTTCTCAATGTTTAACCTTGTCTGCAACAAGTTGCTCGAACCCAGTGAATTGCACATATTTGGAGCTGGAATATTTCTTGTCAAAGACTATATGAAAAGGTCGAATCTTCACAAGACCAAATCACAGGAAATGGAAAATAAATAAGATCTGTAGTTTGCCAAGGGTATTTGAAAAAGTAGCTAAGCGCATGGACTTTTTGCATTCAGATAGCACCGAATTGGGATCCCAGCCCCTTCACTTCGGAGATGGTGAGTGTGGGAAAGTTGCATCACCTCTCTGAGACTCAGTTTCCCCACGATGGTGCAGAGGATTGCGTGCCATTTTAGCAATCTACTTTAGCATAATTTCTGGTGCTTAGAAAATGCTTAATAACGTATTACTGTCACAAATTTATATTTGGGTAAGTAGTGTATTTTGATTCACCTCTGCCTCCCCCACAGCCTCTGATTTCCATGAAGGCAGGGATTGTCTATTGCTTTTCTCACCGCCTCCCTAGCATCTAGAACAGTGCCCAGTACATCAAGCTCTCCATAAATGTATGAAGAAAGGATGAAAAACAAATGAAAATGAATGAGTGAATGAGAAATTTGCTCTTCCAAGGGTAGGATAAAGCCTTACAACTTTCAATACTGCTCTGAACCATGCGTCAGAATATAGTCACTATTCATAGGGGTCAGGTGCAGTCTAAGGATCTGCCCCTATTATATGACTAAACTGGAATAAGAGGCTGGGCCTGGGAGCAGGCCCAAGGGTTAGAGTACAGTCTGTGAGTTGCCTTGGTAACCTTCCTCTTTCTAATCTAAGATCTTACTCCTCAAACAAGAGCATTCCAGAACCCTAAGAGTGAGCCCAGGGCTACATGTAGACATCACAACCACTTGGGTAGACTATTGTTGGTCCTTACTCATGTTCATGGGGTGGCTCTTTTCCCCCCTGACTCTCTCTATTCATCCAAGGAGCCATGCAGTTCTTAGGCTGGACAGGTGTTCATTTCTTAATTAACAGCATCCGGAGTTTCTTGAGGTTGACTGTAGCGTATTGGCTACATCTGCACTGTCTGATCTCTGCTTCTTTGTTTGTTTGGTTCTGATGCTTTCCAGCATCTCGAATGACAGGTCAGATCCAACACACTCTAAGAAAACAGGGCTTTAATAAACAGGCATCCTCAGCACCAATCAGTACTCTTATGACTTCCATCTCTCCTACCAAGTGTGCATCTTGGACAAGATTTCAGGCCATTTTGATCACATTGCCATTTCAAATGATTATTAGTCAAAGATGTCTAGTGAAAGAGGCAACCTGATATCATACAGAGAAAAGAATAGGAAGCTTAGAGTTTGGTTTGCATTTGGATTTAGCACCTCTGCTAAAATCTTTGGAGGTGGTGGGTGTGGGAAAGTTGCATCACCTCTCTGAGACTCAGTTTCCCCATGATGGTGCAGAAGATTGAGTGCCATTTTAGCAATCCATTAGCCAATCTGAACCTTGGTTTGCTCATCTGTAAAATGGGGATAATACCTACAGGGTTGTCATGAAAATTAGAGATAATATATATGCAGAACTTGGCACACAATAGACCTCAATAACTCATAGCTGATCGTATGGCCTTGATACAACAGCCTAACGTACATGTAGCTGAGCCTTGCTAGACATGTAGCATGAGCCAGAGATAACTCTTGGGTGTTTTTAAGTCATATAGATTTAGGATATTTTTGTTATCACAGCATTACCTGACCTAGTTTGATTTGTCTTTTTAAATAAAAAGCGGTTTTATTTAGTGTTTTGGAAATGTGACAACAAAATAATTGCTAAATACCCATCAAAACAAAATATAACCCAAAAAATGACATGTTATATAACTGATAATTTCCAAGCACAACAGCATTTATTAAGTTTAAAAAATAAATTGTATTTTTTTGTGTGCTTTTTCCCCAGCTTTGACTACCTGGATGTCTTTGGAAGCTTAAATTCCTTAAGAAAATTCCACAGCTATAGCTACTCCTACAATGTGACCGAGTGAGGTTAAGATCCTACACCCATATAGAAATTAGCTGGGCATGGTGGCTCACACCTGTAATCTCAGCACTTTGAGAGGCTGAAGTAGGAGGATCACTTGAGCCGAGGAGTTTGAGACCAGCCTAGGCAACATAATGAGACCTCATCTCTACCAAAAAAAAAAAAAAAAAGAATTAGCTGGGTACGGTGGCATGTGCTCCCAACTACTCAGGAGGCTAAGGAGGGAGGATCACTTGAGCCCAGGAGTTAGAGCTGTGGTGAGCCATGATTGAACCACTCACTGCACTCCAGCCTGGACAACAGAGTAAAACCCAGCCTCAAAAACAAACAAAAAAAAGAGAAAGACATGTCTTTCCTTGGGGATCTGAACAACTAGCTCCCTAGGAACTTAAAAAACAGGTGCTCTCATTGGGACCCTTCTAACATGAGGAAAATGCAGCCCTCGTCTATCCCAATTTGGGACAGGTTCTCTAAGTTCTTCACGTGACTACCAAGATCCTGGTCTAACCTGATTAACACACGCCCATCTGCCATGGACTTGGTTGCCCGGCATCTCAACGCCCTTCTTATTCAGAGAGAATTCCTCACCCTCCTAGACTTGTTAGGAGTCAGAGTCTTCTTGTGGATGGTGGAAATGCCTGATGCCACTTTCCCAGCCTGCTTTGCCGCTCTGTACAAGACCTCGGCCAGCAGAGATGGAGCCACAGCTGCGGTGCCGGTGTCTGTCTATAGCAGCTGCAGCAGGGATGTGGCTGGGCTGGTTCTGCATTGAGAGTGTCGGCTGTGATTCTGGCTATGTGACTTTTTCTTGCCCGTTTCCCAAGCTTAGGTATCCAGCCTTCCTGACTATTCTGTGAGCCACCCAGAGTCTATTCAATGAATTTCCTTTCTGCTTGAGTCACCCAGAGTCCGTTTATGTTGCCTGTGATAAGAGCCTCGGAGCAATCCAGCTGACTGGAGGTCAAGGTGAAGCTGAATGGAGGGGAGAAACTGGCAAGCCTCACCTGACGTCCCTCCCTGTTCACAAGTTTGCTTCTCCAGGAGCAGCTCTTGTGTGTCTTACCTCAGTGCAAGCCACGATGCTAGGTGGGGCCTTCCAGTCAGACTGGTGGGGCCTTCCAGTCAGCCTTTGGGCATGCGAACCTTACTTTCCTTATCTGTAGAATGCAGAGAATAATAGGACCTTGTTGGCCAAGCGTGGTGGCTCACACCTGTAATTCCAGCACTTTGGGAGGCTGAGGCAGGAGATTGCTTGAACTCAGGAGTTTCAGACCAGCCTGAAACATAGTGAGACCTTGTCTCTACCAAAAAATCAATCAATCAATCAAAGAATTAGCCAGGCATGGTGGAACATGCCTGTAGTCCAGCTGTTCAGGAGGCTGAGGAGAGAGGATCACCTGAGCCCTGGCAGTCGAGGCTGCAGTGAGCTGTGATTGTGCCACTGCACTCCAGCCTGGGTGACAGAGTGAGACCTCAATTCCAAAAAAAAAAAAAAGAAAAATGGCCTGTTAAAAGAAAAAACTTAACACATATTAAATGTATAGAGTTTAATTAAGCAGAGACAACTGACGTACTGGGCAGCCTTCCCTACCAAAGCAGGCCAGAGAGACTCCAGCGCAGCCACGTGGTGGAAGAAGATTTATGGACAGAGAAAGAAAAGACATACATGTGGAAACCGGAAGTGAGGAACAGACACAGCCAGATTGGTTGCAACTCTGCATTTGCCTTTTTTGGGCCCAGTTTGAGTAGTTGGCTGCCTGTGATTGGCCCAAACTCAGAGATTGACACGAGAGTGGGTTAGCCTGTTTACACATTCAGCTAGGTTGCAGTTTACCTTGTGAAAGGTTAGAGAAACCTCTAGGTCAAACCTGAAATGTGCAAGAAGACCACTTGGGCTAAACCTAATTTAACAGACCTTACCCATAGGGTGATGTGAGGAATGTATTGGAAAGAATGTGCTGGAGAGAGTTCTAGGAAGGAGAGAACAAAACTCCAGTGTAAGCAATGACACATTACTATTATGCATATAACTTGCATGAGTATCTCCAGCTGGGAAGTCTTGGTTGATGTGACAGGGTAAAATGGCTCCTTGAGAGATCACAGATCATTCCTCTCAATTCAGACCCATCTGAGATTGCTGCCCAAGAGATCAGAGACCCCAGCCTTGAAGGAATGACAAGATGACTGGTGGGCCTTATAAAAGAAGAGGAGGGAAGACGATTAGAAATCATTTGATTCAACACTCTCGATCTATGGCATTCAGAGAGGGAGGGCCACTAACCCACAGTCACACAGCAAGTCTGAGCTTGGGTTTGGAATGTCGACCTTTTCATCCTGACATTGGGCTGTAATCTGGAGGGAGAGTCGTGCTGTAACCCAAGTTTGCAAAAGCGAACTGAAAATAGGACAGTTCTCTCTAGAATCACCAACTCATTTCATAACAATCTGTGACCAACTGATTCTCATTCCTTCCTCGAGAAAGACCCCTAGAGGGCCCTTTTCCTTTTCTTTCTCAGCGATCTAAAATAGCTTATTGAGGAAGGGTGAAAAATTGCTGAATTGATCTTTTTAAATGAACAGGGATCTGAACCAAAGGCATTTGGGAGTGGAGAACTTTCTCATCCGAGGGGCTGCCAGCGCCTCCCCCCAGGCTGAAGTGCTCCCTTGTTCTCTCCGGCTCTGCCCCAGATTCATGGGCCACTCTCCGAATCGTTGGCAATTTCCTCTGTACTGTCCTGACAACCTCCAGCCATGAAATTAAAAAGCTAGTTACCAAATCTTGTTCCTAACGGCTCTGTCCTTGCCAGCGATTCCACAGAGAAATCTGGAAGAAGGAGCCTCCACCTCGCCTGCAGTGGACTCAGATGCTGCCTGAATGACAATGGAATTCGCAGTGGGAGGAGGCAGAGGGAATGTGCAGTTTTGCAGGGAAGGAATGAATGAAAGGGTGAACTTTGGGCTTTCCGTGGAAAAATTCCAGCATCTCAGCAGAAGCCCTGGTGCCTTCATTCCCAGACCTGCTCCAAAACTCCTAGCGGGCGCATTTGCCCGTACCCGTGCCCCCTGGTCCTGGGCCTGGGTCCAGAGTTTGGGACTAGAAGGCTGGAGGTTTGGAATTTGGAAGAGGAAGCAGCGCAATTTGGAAGAGGAAGTATCGCCAAACTGGGGCAAGCCCCAGGACGCCAGCTCACCTAGCCAACTTGCCAGCCACGCCTGCTCCCACTTCACATGTCTCCTCTGGATGCAGACATCATCCCCTGCCCCAAGGAATTTTAAGAAATCCTCAAAACCCAAGGAATTTTAAATGCCCTTAATTAAGAAAAAATGTCCTAGAGGACCACTGTGGTGTGGCCCAGGGTGACAGGGGTCCCTGGGCTACAGGAGGGTGAGGCTTAACCTTGCCGCTGTCTGTGTCCCAGTCCTTGGCCTTGGGACCTACGCAGAGCAAGGCATAGGCACAAATGCCTTCAGAGAGCTCTTTGTCCTGCCCTTGCCCTGTCTGGGCACGAACTTACAGACTGTTCTCAGGCTGTGCAGGGGATGCAGGAGAGAGGGTTGGAGCCACAGTCTCTAGGCGCAGGCAGAATGAGGGTGGAGTCCAAGTCCAAGTCTTTGTAGCCAAGAGACCTTGAGTAAGTTGCTTGACCTCTCTGAGGCAGCCTCCTCATCTGTAAAATGGTAATCACCATGGTGACAGCTCAGAGGGTGGCTGGCCAATGAAACAAAATCTTGTGTGTAAAGTGCTTATCACATTGTCAGTGCTCAGTCTCTGGTGCATCTTGGAACTAGTCTTGTTGCTGGACTGGCCTGGTATTGAGGGGTCCCTGGGGAGCTATGTTGGCCCCCGTTATGTAATGCAGCATGTGCATTCACTCACTCATTCATTCATACACATGTTCATCCAGTGTCTTTTATGTGCTGCCCCACGCTATGAGTTGGAACAAGAAGAGGAAGTAGAAGGTAGCACAGTGCCTGGAGCTCACAAGCAAGCAAGCAAGCAACAAACAAACGAACATGCAACATCAAGGTCGAAATCATTTTGGATACAGATAAGTGGGTAGTCAGAGAAGGCTTCCCTTGGGAGGTGGCACTGAACTGAGCAGAAACTTCACAAACAAGAAGGAGCCAGTCACACTCAGGCCTGCCAGGTGAGGGTCCCCAGGGCAAAGCAATACACAGGCTTGGAGGTGGGGCCAAGTCCACTGTGGGACCCCTGGGCTGATGATGAGCCACAAAGGGAGGCCTTGTAAGGGTGCGGACTATACCCCAAAGGTTCTGGGAAGCTGAGTGTCCGGAGCAGGAAGGACCAGCACTCTGCCCCGAGAATCAGTGCTGGATTGGAGCCCAGCGCATGTGCGGGGGCATGGCTTGCTCTCACCAGAGTCTCCCCGGAGGCTGGCTTCCTTGCTTTGGCCTTCTCTTTGCTGTGCATGGGCCATGCCTGTGCATGAAAGGGCAGGTCTTCAGGACGATTCTGCAGCACTGCCAAGCTCAGCGTTTTCAAGCATGGCCCACCCTCTCAAAGTGCAAGTCTCCCCAGCCTCGGGGGAGGGGGAAGTAGGCACCCTGTTGCCCTCACCACTCCACCCATACATGGAGCACATTGGTGTCACTAGGGTCCTGCTGATGTTGGGGACACCTGTCCCATGCAGGGCCTGCTGGGGGCATTCATTGGGGAGCTCCATGGTGGCCCACCCTCCGTACCCCCAGGCTGAGCTCACCTCAAGACCAAGCCACCCCTGGTCCAAACTGGGCCAGATGAAAGTACTGCAGCACCCTTGGGGGTCCCAAGACCTGGTCCCAAGACCTGGCCAATTCACAAAGCGCTGCCCCTTCCTCTCCCTAGGCCACGCAGTCAAGGGCCCTCTGTGTTAGGGAACCTGAGACTCTATCTGTTGAAAGGGAGCTGAGAAGTTAAGGAGCATTTAACACAGCCTTGTTCATTCATTCATTCATGCATTCATTTGATAAATGTTTGTCATGCACCTACTATGTGCCATGGATTATATTGGTGCCAGGTTATAAACTAAATACAGGGGACTCTGGAGAACAAAATAGATATGATTCCAGTCTTCGTGGCTATCAGTATTCTTAGGGGCTGAACAAACACAAAACAAACGAACCTGTAAATACGAATTTCTGAACCATGGCATATGAGAGAAAAGACAAGAACAAAGCATGCAGCCTGCGTTCCAGGTCCAGGTGTGGGCAGGCCCAATCAAGCAGCACAGGTACCAAGGGCTCAGTAAGAGCAGAGTCACAACGCAGTCTGAGGGACACTTACAGATACCCAGAGAGCCTGCATCATGGATGAATTTCATTATTCATAATGACTGCCAATAGAAATACATGGAAAAACCATGCTGTAGAGAAAGTTCAAAGTCTGGCTAGCATGCGATTTGCTGGCGAATCCTGGTGTTCATGGATGATCTGTTGACTGCGTTTGTAAATGCAAAAGTGACAATGATAACATTTATGGGGCACATCTGTGACAGGCACTGTGGCAGGCATGGGACCCAGTGATAAGCACCCACATGTTCACTGGCACCTGCAAGTGACTGTGACCCCTCCTCCTCCCACATGCAGGAAGTCCCTCATGGGGACCACCAACTGGCCAGGTGGCATATCCTAGGCTGTCACCTGGAAGTGACTGCACCCCCCTACATGCAGGAAGCACCTCCCAGGGACCACTGCCTGTGAGATGGCACTTTCTGGGCCATCTCTTCTATTTTGTTTTGGGATTTGACCTTGTCACCAGGTTTCTGTCACGATTCACCTGGCAGCGTTCTGCATGCTGTTCATTCTGCAACAAGTTAGGTTTTCACACGTGATGAAGTCAGTTATACCCACGTCCTGCTGAGACAGACACGGAGAAGAGGCTGGCGTGGCCGAATGAGCTCTTTTTAGATGAGGAAGCAGAATTCGTGTTTGAGACGAAAGTGCTATTCCTGTCTCCAGGCCTGTTTTGTTCCCAGCTCGGTTTTAAGCTGTGTCCTCTTCCAAGGCAAACCCTTCTCCCCTTCTCCGCCTCCTCCTCCTTCCTCCAAGACCTCCCTCCTCTCCTTCCCCTCCTCCCCCCACTCCTCATCCCCGCTTTCCTCCTCCCTCTCATGATCTCTTCCCCATCCTCCTCTCACTCCTCCTTCCCCTTCGCCCCTCCCACTCCACAGATCCTCCCTCCTCCCTTTCCTTTCCTCTCTTCCCCATCCTCCTCCCACTCCTTCCCGCCTGTCCTCTCACTCAGCTCCTTGCCCATGTCCCCTTCCTTCCCTTTATCTTCTCCTCTCCTCATCTTCCTCAGGCCCCCTCCCCCTCATCTTCTTCCTCTCTTCTCCCCCTTCCTCCCTCTCTTACTTCTCCACATTTTAAAATCCCTCCACACCTCTTTGGCTTTTGGTTTGGGATGTAGACGTGACCAAAAGATGAGGCTTAAAGACCACAGATTCCCTGTTTCCACATGGAGGGGACAAGCCTTTTGCTTCCTGCCCTCCGCCTACCCTCGGCTTGCCACTCCCACCCCCAGCTGGTTTTGGTGCAGAAGTTTCCTCTCACTGAAACTGACCTGTTCTCTCAGCCTTGCTCACTGTGTGAGAAGGTTCCCTCCACACTCCAGGGAGAGCCAAGCGTCCCAACGGCAGAGCAATGCACGTGGCAGGAGGACCATGGACTTTGGCATCACACTGACTCGAGTCTGTACCCTGGCCCTGCTCGAGATTTGTGGATTTGGGTAAGTCAGTCAACAGTTCAAATCCTCTGCAGGCAACGATCCGACCTCACACAGCTGCTTTCAGGATTAAATAAGCTAGCATGTGGGTAAGTGGTTGGTGCAGATAGAGATGTCCTACAAATATTAGATCTGTCTTCATCACGTGTGAAAACCTACAAATGTTAGACGTTCCCCCAGTTCACTTCAGCGAAGCACAACAGCAAAGAAAACTATCCAGGAGGAAGAAGGTGAAGGTGTTCACAATCCGGAATCTGGTCAACGCCGGCTTGGTCTCTGGTTCCTGGTCTCAGGAGTTGTCTTTAGGACTAGTGACTTGACCTCTCTGAGCTGCAGTCTCCTCATCTGTAAAATAGAGTTATCCAGAGTACCCCTGGAAGATTGCACTCGGCATGGTACTAGACCATGCACCTGTAGCAATGAACCTTGTGGCTGGCACAAAGAAGGCGCCAGCATTGTGGCCATGGCAACTATGGCCGAGCCAAGGCCACAGACATAGTACCCTTCGATGGCATCAGGAAGACCTCTGTACCAGCCTTAGAAAAATGATGAAACACTTTGGAAATGATGAATGATTTCTACCAAGTCTTTTTTTTTCTTCCTGAGGTAGGTTCTCACTCTGCCACGCAGGCTGGAGCTCAGCGGCCTGATCACCGCAGCCTCAATCCCTTGGGCTCAGGCAATTCTCCTGCCTCAGCCTCCCGAGTAGCTGGGACTACAGGTAAGGCCCCCTATGCCCAGCTAATTTGTTTTACTTTTTTTGTGGATATGAAGTCTTGCTATGTTGCCTAGGCTAGTCTTGAACTCTTGGGCTCAAATGAGCCTCCCACTTCAGCCTCCCAAAGTGTGGGAAGTGGGATTGCCATGACTTGTAAAGGTATCTGCAAGCAGAAAGTGTGTCCGGAAATAGGACCCAGGTGCCATGACGTGATACCGCATCCTGTCCTCCCAAGGATTCACCTGCTGCCAAGTGCTCATCAAGTATCAAGCACAGTAACCAAACCAGGGGCAGCCGATATTCTGGGGCGCCTTGTCTGCAAACCTTAAAAACAAATCCAGCACCCTGACAATGCCTCATCAGCCTGCTCCAGGCAGTTCAGAGCTCAGGGACGGGGAAGCGTTCCTCATCTACTTATTGCAGGGGCAGCCGTGGAGATGACAGTCTCATGTGCCAATTATCTTTCTGTTTTCAGGTGCCCAGCAGGATTGAATGGACCACCTCATCCAGGGAGCCACGGAGGATGGGTGTGTGGAATAGACAAAGGAAGGGTACTTGGCTGATAGGATGTTGACACCACTACAGTTTTAATCAGGGTTCTAAAGGCCCTGGGGTTGTACCCAGGACTTAGTGGCAGGGCCTAGTGCAGACTTTCTCCCATTTCTTAGATGTATGGAGGCTTCTTAGGTATAAGGGACACAACAGAGTAACCCAACTGGGATCAACCCTCGGGAATAAAACAAATTGCAAAAAAAAAAAGGGGGAGACATATGGGGGGGAGCCAAAAAACCCCAGAATTTATAAAAAATTGTGTATTGACTGGGTGCAGTAGTTCATGCCTGTAATCTCAACACTTTAGGAGGCCAAGCTGAGAGGATTAACCTGGATTCAGGGGTTCAAGACCAGCCTGGGCAACTTGGCAAGACCTTGTCTCTAAAAAAAGAAAAGAAATTGCATATTTATTCATCCATGTTTAAATTTCAGTCGCCTTCAAACTACTCTCTGTTTTATGTAAGATACCTGTCGAGACGCTTTTTCCACTGCTCAAAACAGGTGTTGAACTTGTCAGTGTTGATGCCTTTTAGTGCTTCTGCCATTTTTTGTTTCACTTCTTCCACATGGACAAAATGTTTCCCTTTGAGGACTTTTTTTATTGGGGAAACAAAAAAAAAGTCACTTGGGGTGAAATCAAGTAAATAGGGAGGATGGAGCACAGGGGTCATGTTGTTATTGGTCAGAAACTGCTGAACACTCAGCTTGGTTTGGGCAGGTGCATTTGTAAGTTACCCACCATGAAAAGAATCTCAAAAAAAAAAAAAAAAAAAATTCACTGAAGCCGAACGCAGCCTCTCACAACAATGCTAGCTGGTACATTGACGCTGATGGGTTCCCAGAACACTTACCTAGAGGGGGAAGCCTATATTACAAGGGGCCTGCCCTCCAAAAAATAATTCTGGATTTTTTTGGGTCTCCCCTTGTATGGCCATACTTCTCCATAGACTTAAGAATGAGTGGTGCTGAGGTTAGACTGCCCTTATGATGAAATAGTCTGCCATGAAGCTGGGACAGGAATATGCTCATAATTCCCAGTGATATTTAACAACAATTGTTAGTATATCAATAATAACAACAAAAGCAGCTCACACAGATTGAATGCTTACCATATGCCAGACAGTTTTCTAAGCATACACCTTAATATATGGAGTCATCTGGGGGTTCATGGACAGCAGGACTGGGAAGGGGAGGTGCAGCTGTGTTGGGAAGCCTTGAATGCCAAGTGAAGGGGACCAGGCTTTCTTTGGTAGATAGCAGGGGACAACCAAAGTTTGGAACAGAGGAGACTCAGGATGTCGCTTTTCCTCACAGTCTAGCAAAGAAAGAGATGGAACAAAAGTGAGCTTCAGAGCCAGGTAATCCTGGCTTTAGTCCTGATTTTCCTTATGGATTTGCTCTGTGTCCTTGAGGAAGTTGTCCAACTTCCTTGAGTTCAGAAGATGATTACATACATTTTCTTTCTTTCTTTCATTCTTTCTTTTTTGAGTTGGAGTCTTACTCTGTTGCCCAGCCTGGAGTATATTAGCACGCTCACAGCTACCGCAGCCATGACCTGCTGGGCTCAGGTGATTCTTCCAACTCAGTCTTCCAAGTAGCTGGAGCTACAGGTGCACGCCATCATGCCCGGCTAATTTTTTGATTTATTGTAGAGACGAGATCTCTCCAAGTTGCCCAGGCTGGTCTCAATC